ATGGTGCTCATGGTGGCCCAGGCAAACGATACTCTCCCATATCCGTAGATAACACCAGCATTGTCGCTCGTATTTTTCTCGACTCGGGAGGAACCATGTTTGCTCCCGTCGGCGAGGGAGTAGTGTAGGGAAACGCTGCGCCGGAAGGGAAATAGCGAGTGGGGAGCGCGAACGTTAGGGCAACAACGCTGAAGAAGACTGGTGGTGGCGCACTCAGCAATATCCGATCCCCTCTGTCCGCGGCGTCAATTGAGGACGTCGACACCTACAGCCGGGCACTCCAGTGGTCCTCGAACAGAGAGTGGCCAGGACACGTGCGAGGCCGTGGTACGAACGCGCGGAAGTGGAGAGCGAATGTGCGCCACGTTGGATGCGGGAGGCTCGGGAGCCGGCGGGAAGCGACGCTTCCGCGCCAGACCGGAAATGGAGCGCTTTGAGAGGCCGGAAGTAGGAGCAACCGGCCCCTGCAGACGCGGAAAACGGGGCCGAGGCTCTGGAAACGCGCGTGCCAGTGAGCTGCGCGGTTTGCTGGGTTCTTCTGGGGTGACGTGCAGTGCTGCAGTCGCGCGGGTGACGTTGTTTGGACCGATACGATATGAGCGTGTGGGCAACGCTGTGCATTACCACTGCACCCGTATCGACGTACCGTTGTGACTGGGATCCCGTGTGTCCGCGCCAAAAGCAGTGAATATGCGGGAAATACAAAAGCTAAATAAAAAAATATGAGTAAATGACCTGACAGAGCTTTTACTGCTTAAGTGCTTTTTCGCCATCGAGCGACTGCTTTAGTTAATGACGAGTACCGTGTCGTTATTGGCTGTACTCGTATTAGCAAATTTTACGTGAATACGGGCTCGGGATGATATGTAGTAAAGAAAACCACAACCGGCAATAATGGGCTCCATTGATGGGCATGAAAAAGGAAAAACAATTAAGTACGGGGAGAATACGCACGTTCGAGCCCAAAAAGACAACACCCGAAGCAAAGAAAGAAACGAAGCTGACAAACGAAAATCTTCACGTGGGTTATGTGGAGCAGCCAAAACTGATTTCTTTTGAAAACCATTGTAACAGGGTGTGCTGCTTAGAGCACGCGTGCATCTTTTCCTATTGCGCTGCAATTTAGGTGTTGACCTCAGTGATGAATTCGGGAATATCAGGCCCGGACTGTGGTGAAACTGAAGAAACTCTATCTAAGCAGAAAATATATTTATCATCCAGGGGTGCGACCGCTGAAATGACCTTCGAAACATGCTCAGTGAATGTGAGTTTGCACTTTTAGAATACCGGTCAATGGAGGCAGTTGTATCTCACTGAGGTGCACCATGCACCACTGCTGGTATTGGGGATAGATCTTCATGAATGCTTGAAGGTTGAAGAATTGTTTTTTAATGTATGCCCCCTCCCCCAAAAATTTTTTTCGTGTTAGCCTTTTCCGCGACACACACACACACACACGCACACACACACACACGCACACGCACACACGCACACACACACACACACACACACACACACACACACACACACACACACACACACACACACACACACACACACACACACACACACACACACACACACACACACACACACACACACACACACACACACACACACACGATAGGACTTGAATGTGGCAAATTTAACAAGAAATCGACATCTTCATGCTCGTGTAGGGCCTCTATTTTTTTTTCAAAATTTTACAACGCAAGAGAAAACTTTACAAATCCGTAAATGTTCCTTCACTACCGGTATGGTAGCTATGTGAGCCGTATCTGTAAAAATATTCAGAGCATACATATACCAGATATACAAGTTTAAGGTGCAATGGAAATGATTACTAATTTAGCAGCGTTTTTCGAATTTCCCACTATTGACTAAATTCTATTGTAATACAATGATCCACCATTTCTCTTTCTTGTACTATACTCAGTGACAACTTTTCTTGGCATTATAGCGAAGGCTACAGAGCTAAATCACGTGCATCCTACCACCAGTGAAAGTACTTTCACAATAGCGCCCGTATTTTCAACGTCAAATATAAAAATTCATCCTTTACTTTCTTCGTGGAGCTACTTGAGATAAGACACAGCTCACACCAGTAACATTGTCTTACTTTAGTATTTTTTTGAATTTACTCGTCGTGACTTCATGTTTCTGAGCGCAAGAGAAAATCTCGCATTTTAACGTGTAACTCAAACGCTGAGCGGTGCCTGCGCCAACACGGACTACTTCGGGTAGTGCTACATGTGCAGAAGCTCCGCCTCCGTAGCTTTCCCTTCAGTCTCAAAGCAGATTGTCGCTGAGTATAGCCATTCTATTCATTTCATTTGCCTATTGCATTTATCCTGCTCGTTTCATATCCAATTCGCTTCGTCATAATTTCTGGCCAACCACCTGTAGATAATCGTTCCACTCGCAGGCCACCCCTGCATTGATCAATATCATAAAAAATGATTGACGTTCTGAGCAAGCATCCACGTATTTCTGATAGAATTAATCACTTGAATTTATTTGCACTTTCGTTACTACGAGTGGAATAGATATAACCCATATTAGTGCATATAGGCGTTGCGCTATAGGCACCGTTAGTCATATGAGCCATGAGACTATTAACAGGAAAGCCAGCTTTCGTGGGCGCTCAATATAGTTGCAATATGACCACGAATATGCCCTTCTTTACAACGCACGACATCCCAGAATAGTTATCCCACCTATATATAGTTGCTAACACGTGTGAGTACGATAATGAACGCATGACCACTTTGCTTGCGTTGTTCGGTGCAGCACTGTGGCACGTGCCTTAATGTGATGAGAAGTGACATATGTACGTTTACCACAATTACACCTACCAGTACGCACGTCAAAGTCGACGGCGAGGACAACTAGATCTTGGCGCCTTCCCAACAACGGGGCGCATGGAGCCGACCCCGCAGACATTGGGTCACCTCCAAAGAGAAAAAGAAATCGGGGAAAAAGGGAGGTCAGACACGAGGGAGTAAAAGGCACGAGCCGTGCAGAAAAGGCACCACAAAGGGGGGGCATGAGGGTGCGAGAGGTAGTCAGCGAGGGAGAAGACGAGGATGACAGGAAGCTCACCTTCTTTCTTCTTTTCGTACACGGACTATACTCCCCTACGTTTCCACACTGCTCTACTCCCCCCTTCCCCCCCAGTACACCATCCCTGATGTCATCGCTTTGATGTGTGTCCCCATTTTGGGAGCTCGAATGTGTGTCGATAAATCGATGCCGCCGGGAGATTATGTCGCGGGTTATTGAGAGAGCGCGCACCATGGACGGCGGGCGGGACGTTTCCCGTTTTCCCCCGCAGTGCTCCTTTTCTCCCTAACGCGCGCTGCAGTCGTGTGGCCGCGGTCCCAACGACGACCGCCTTTCTCGGTCCGACGGCGGGGAATGATGATGAAGCCGATTCCCGGCCTTCTCTTTCCCCACTCCCGACTTTCTCCTTACTTCCCGCACTCTCATTCTCATTTCCTCCTCTCCCTACTTCCCTTGATCTCCCGCAACCGCCGGCCGTTTTCCGAGCGAGGCGAAGACCGCGCGTATCGTCCGGACGTCGGATGCGCCTGCTTAGAGCGCCGACGCTGTAAGGAGGGGGCTTTAAATCGAGTTTACGGGCAGCGCCCGCTCCAACATTCTGTCGTTTAGTTTTCTTTTTATCCCTATTTCATCCTTTCTTTTTCGCCTCCCCGCTGGCTGCCCCGTTTCCGCGGCGTGCGAGATCTTGAGAGGACCAGTCTTATTTCATCTCTTTTTCGCCCCTCTTTATTCTTTCCTTTCAATATTTACTTCTACAACATCGGTGGTGCATGATAAACACCGCGCAGCGCCATCGTTATACGCTGTATTTAGGGCGTCACACATACGCCTCTTTCGCACCATAATTCATAGTTTTATTTCTTTCCTCTGAACTTCAGCGCATAGCTTAAGCCGGAATGAGGTCACCCGTCCCTCTAGCTGCGCGCATCAGTGTCGTTTAAGAAGATTGCGGTTCTACGATTCGATCGGGTGGTCTACTTTATAGCATGCTCCTATATCAAGCCTTCCTAAGTATTGATGTATTAGGCTTGTAGAAACAGTGTAGCAACAATTGAGAGTGACATTTTAATAAAAACACAGCGACTTTCGCGTAACACTGCTTACGTTGTGGACGAGGCAGTTGACACTCCATGGTGCTCTTGGGCTCATGAGCAATACAGTGTTTGTGGTCCGTTGCCAGGCCTGTTTTTATTCGTTTTAGATATGATGTTCATGACTTGGTGTTATTTGTGACCCTTGTGTTGAAAGACGAATCGATGGCGTATTTAATCACGGTGTTATATGAGATAGTTGCGAGCTATGACGCTGAACAACTAGGAATAACCGAATTGACTTGAATACCAGTAAATAAAATACAAGAATAACATTCTCCTACATGCTGTATGGCAACTGCCATACAGCTATGGGATAGCCGCAACCAGTACGTATCAGCACACCGTATACTGACGTCGTCATCTTCATGCAGTCACATGAAATCACAAATAATATATTGGCGAACATAAAAGGTCTGTATATGAATATGTTGGTACGATATTGAAGGGATTTAGCATGTAGGAGTCACCTGTTGATAAGCACCGTAATCTGCGTTTTGTTCTCTCTTTGCGTTCTTTCGTTCGTTCGTCGGTTGTCTGATTAGGGCGACACCACAAACGCTTGTTGTCTTGATTCTGTAATTAAGCTTCTTAGTATGTTGTACCCATATCTACGCGTTTTTAGTTATTAATAGGTCTGCCTTTCCATTCTTCGAAACCTCTACCAATTTGCTAGCTTTAATTATGATATATGATCATAGTTTCAGATTGAGCCAGTGTTCAGTTTCGCTCCATTGTCAATGTTTGAACAGGACGACCAGTCATTCCTTTACCGCACCATGTATCGGAAGCCCCTTTTTTCATAAACGAGATATTAGGCCATCGGGTGTTTGTATGTATACTCACTTTACAAGGTCTGGAGGTGGTAGATTCTTGAGAGCCTTGATGGTAGGCATCTCCAGAGACTCGCCCCCGCCATCGGGCAGCCGTCTGCAAAAACAAAACAGACGGGGACATGTGTTTCAGTATCGGTAAGCGTGGTTCAATGCATGACGTAGCGCAGCAACTTCAGTCATTGGTTTACAGTATCTGATGAAATGCGACAGTAATGTACGACGATAAAGTACTATGAAACTAGGACAATGACTCTGGATATCCTGGTGTGCGCAAGTGCAGATTAATGAAAACAGAAAAGAATAGACGGGGACGAGCGCAAACTTTCATCTCTGCCCTTGTCCCTGTCTATTCTTTTCTGTTGTCGTTCGTCTGCATTTGCGCACACCAGGTTACCCAGAATTATGAACCACCTCGCCCAGCTACAAGTTTTACTAGGGCAATGACGTAGTACTGGTTTGTGAAACAAATTGTTAAATAATAATAATAAAAAAGATCGCTTGGACGTTTATTGTGAGTGCGAGCGTTCCAAGACCGCCAGCAGTTTTAGTTCATGTTCCCAGTTCAGAATCCTCAACGTGTGGGGTTGCGAAAAGAGATGAATAATTGAAAAGTGATAACTTGAACACTGAGACGTTTTGCCAAAAACTTTCAAGTCGTATTTCTCAAACCTGGCGTGGTTACTCATCTTTGAACAAAGCAAATACAACATTACATCTGCGCGGTGTCCGATGTATCACTGAGACAGGTTTCATAAATCGAATAATAATTCTACTTGGTTGGGCATTGTTATGTAGCTAATGCCACACTCGATAAACAGTGTATAATTGTGGAAGTTCTGCCCGTCTGTTCAAGTAGTTCAGTTAATACATTTCAACTACGTCAGCTCCTTCAAAGTGCTTTTTTGAAGTAAATTTGTTTTGTTTTTCAACGAGAAGTTAAGCAATCGTATAGCGGAATTAACAGAGATTAGCGTATTGAAATGCTCACTCGCACAGAAATGTTTACGTTGGCAGACGTCGCAGATGATGATGAGGAATCTCGACTTTGAAAAGCTGCTCATGTAGAAATGACATTTATTTATTTGCTTACCTATTTAATTATTTGTTTGTACTACAGGCAGTTATGCTGGCCCATGAAGGAAGAACATTCAAGTGACAAGATGAAAGGAGTGCAAGAAAAAAAATGAAATACAAATAATACAAAACCATAAAATGCATGTAGCTTATACCCAAATGCACAAAATTAATCGCGTGCTTCAGTACAGTAATTATTAATAAACATCTGGTCACATATAATTAGGAGAGGTGCTGTAGTGGAGTGCTCCTAAAATTTCGACCCTCTGGTATTGTTTAATCTGCACTGACATCGCACATACAGCACCGTAATTACAATAACTGCGCGGTTCTTTTTAGATTCACCAATATGAAACCAACAATGAATTAAGTCATGAAATTGTTTGTTGATTTTCCTTGGCTGTGTCTAAGAAAGAAACAATAACGTCAAAATGTTCCCCTTCTTTCGTACTTCTGAAATTGTTTGTATCTATTCAACAACAAAAAAAGTGAAGAATAAGTTTTCTTTCGTCTTGTACATGTTAAAATGGCGAAGCGCGACAAAAAGAGAAAAAAAAAAAAAACAAAGGTTCATGAAGTGCTACCTGACGTATACAATGAACAGTAACCAGCGCACGCCAAAGTACGCGCACGTGAAATGCAGCAATCTGGCCTCGGAAGCACATCGGCTCCATTTTTTCGCTGTCATTGTGTCGTCTCGTTTCACCCCTGTTCTATGAAAGGGGATTATGCAAACCAATCGGGCTCCCTTTCGGAGGGCAGTAGCACATGGCCTCCGGGTTCAGATTACTTTGTTTTTCTCTGAGATCCGATTAGCGCAGTTTGAAACAAAGCAGTTATCAACTCACCGCGATTCCCCGACCTATTCACTCAGTGAATGCAAGGAAGACGGGTGGAAGAGGGGGAGGGGGGGCGGACGAAGGATCATCTGTGAACCGTGTCGACTTGGAACAAAGGAAATCTCTTGCGCATACAAGCGACACGGTGGACGCAGTACAAAGCTTGAGGCCCGTCTGTGTAAAAAAAAAATGGCAGCAAAAATGTTTAGCTTTTGTATTTCTTTTTTTCGATTTGAGGCCCGGTAAAGTCTGCGGAATAGGCAAACAATCCGCGACAAGGGATTGTGTAATGAAAGGCCGTCACGGCTATTGATCCGTAAGTCAGCGGGTTAAGAGGTCTTAGATAGGAATTTTAGAGTGCTTACACAAGTTCGGTGGGTAAATTTGAAAAATACGAGGTGGTCGCAGATTGTTTGGAAAAGAAAAAAAGAGGGGATGGGGAACTCAAAAAAAGGGAAAGGGCTACTAAGCTGCAGGAAACTATGCTGAAACGTGCGAACGCGTAAATGTGTTTGCACTGTGAATTTCATTTCACGGAAATGCTGAGCGCGGCTTGGAGATATGTACAGATTGAAATCAGATTCTGACTCAAGGCTCGAATAATAAAAATACCGGTTTCTACGCAAAACATTTTTCGAACTTCATTTCATTTTTTTTTTCATTTCATTTTTTAATAGTGTGTGTGTAAGGCCGGGGGGGGGATGGAGAGGATATGACAACAGTACATTTGTTCAACCACTTGTGGAAGCTACAATAAAAGGAGTGACAAGTATGACAAAATACACAAAATAGTTCTTGATGTCTGAATGATTCAGAGATCAAGATTCGAAGACGACTATTTCAAATTTCTTTGTGGCTCTGATTTTGAAACAATGTGCTGTTTGCAGCACTTCCCGGCCTCTACTCTACAAGACTAATAGCTTGTAGAGTAGCTTCAGACAGACAACTTGTGGATACACTGTTGGTGCATTGTGTATACAGACAAGGACATGTGCAAGACATGCGAAGAGGTGCCGAAATAGGCAAGGACCAGATGTTGAGAGGGACCAGTAGTGAATGGCGAAGTAGTCTGCCATGCTCACGTTTGCTGATGCAGCCCTGACACTGCCCTGATGTGAGCCCTGGTAGACTTCGTGCTTTTTTCAATGCTCGAGAGAAGGCAGAAAGGTGACTGTTTTGACGGCGTTTCCGCCGTACAACGAGCCATCACAGGGTATCCGAGAAAGGCCACAGTCGCTGAATCTCACAGAGTCTTTTCAGCGCTTGAATCAGATTGCAATGGGTGTATCGACGCCCGGAAAGACAATTTTGAAGATTTCAAATGAAGTTTTACGCCCCGAAAGCACGACATGATTACGAGAGACGCCGTATAGTGGAGGGCTCCGGAAATTTCGACTATCTGGTGTTCTTTAACGTGCTTGAGACCCACAGTACAAGGGGCTCTACCATTTCACGTCCATCGAAATGCGACTGGGACCGAACTTGCGACCTTCGTGTTAGCAGCCGAGCACAACAACCACTGCTCCATCGCGGCGGACGATTCAATATGTTTGTCGCCAGATTCATTCTCATCACTTTACGCGCAGATCCTGTACTCTCCATTTTCCTCTTCTCTCGCCTCTATTCACGCAACACAAATTAAGTCAGAGCCTCCATATTTTAGCGTATGCTGTCAGCGTGCACCGAAAGAACCATCGCTCCCCGCCCAGCGTGTGGTTGAGACGAGCCACCATCCCCGTCAATCGCCTTAACGTCGAGAAGGTCGATACGCGGAGGCGAGATGATGAAGATCGAGCAAGCTTGGCAGGACGGGGACAAGATAAAGCAAGAAGTAGCGGCAACACAGCTGAGAAAGGCAGCGATCGGCCGAGGAAGTGAGCGAACAAAACACGACGAAGGGACGCTGGTGCGCGACCGGCGCCTGATGAAGTTTCCCTTCGCGCCTGGTTAGCTTCACTGAGGCGGCGTGGGAATAGGGCGCCGCTGCTGCTCGGCGGGTAAGCCGATTAACGGGGCCGCGAGGCGGCGAGATGCCGGCCCCGGTTGGCCGACGCTCGGGGTGGCCTGTCCTTGCGGTGCGCCGCGAGGTCGCCCCCCAGACTCCGAAGCAAGGATGGGTATTGAGGAGACGGGATGATTTCCGTCAGTGCGAACGTTCGTGTGCGCTTCTGTGCGAATAGATATCTGTATACGCCAAGCCTAGAAGTATTGCTGCGTTCCTAGAAGACATTAGAGAGTATTCGATTGGAAGCTCCACAAGGTTGAAGCACCAAAGCCCACTGACTGTGCTCGCTTTTGGTCAAGCAGGAGTAAAGAGTTTTCGAATAGGGTCTGCAGTAATTTAAACAGCCCCCCCCCCCATTCTACATCACTCCATCTTTGGGCAAGGGCCATCGCGTCACTGGGTGCCGTCATGTGTACTTGACGCAAATTTTTTGGGGCAGTCTTCAAGACTTCGGCTAAATTTGAGAACTAGTGTCCCCAACGCAAAACCAAGCGCTGCTTTGGTCTCGCGCATACGAAGTGGCCTCGACGCGGTTGCTTTGGGGCTTCAAGACGTTTGGGGCGCATATTCGAAAACTCCCCATTAACCTAACTTACAAGCTCTGAACGTGCCTACATTAAGATGATCACATTTATCTCTACTGTAGACTCAACCATTACATAATTGAATTTTCATACCTGCTTCTTTCTGCTCCTTGGAGTATTTTAAATGCGAATGCATTTCTTAGTCGGGGCGTGTCAGGCGTCTGTCGGTGTCCGCGCACCGGCAAGTGTTATCTATTCGCACTCACTCTCTCTCTCACATAGCAACAGGTGCGGGCGTGTGTGCTTATTCGTACCCCTAGCAACCGGAGCAGTTGGGGCGGGCGAAGTAGCGGAGAGTGAGTGGATTGGAGGAGAGCGCTTTGGCGTGTGAGGGCGCTCACATCGCGGGAGCTCAGCCGAGCTCCCGCGTGGGTGGAGAGAGTGTAGGAGAGGGTTCGTCAGTGCCCGCCGCTTTTTCTCTCGCCGTTCGCTCTCTCTCTCCTCTCTGCGCCCCACTCGGTGCCCCGCGTATATATAAATGAAGAGAAGCACGCGCCCCACTCTTGACCGTTCACCGGCCGATGAATGTGTAAATAAATGATTACGGTACAAATCGTGACCTCGTCTATAATTAACGCCATTGAAATTACTA